CGCTAGATGATGCCCTCTTAGGAGACATTTTCTGGCACTGAAAAAGCCTGTCGTTGATCGAACACAACCATAACCCCCTGTCACCAAGGGCTGAAATGTCCACTTGCTGCTACAAACTCTTCCTAGAGAAACGATGTTCTTAGTCACTAAATGAGTATACCGATGCGAAAGAAAGGAGGAGGTACGGTTTCAATACAAATTTGGCCTTATTTGATTTTTTTTTTTTCAAAATGGGAAATTGTAGTGAGAAATCGAACATCAAGCTTTCTAAATTGTTCAAAGTCCATTCAGCAAGATCATACAAATCGTTTTTCGTATATGACCTTAATTCTAAATGCCAACTGAGACGTCATGAACTTGTGCATTTTCTCGCATATTCTTAGAAGGTTGTAGGACATCAATTTTAAATGGAATTTTCTTTCAGACAGTAAAATCTATATGCATCGCCTAGAAAGATTTTCAGATATGTGATTTAAATAAGTCATTTTAAGACTTGTTCTGTTTAAAACTTAGAAATTATCAATTTCACGATGTCGTATTGTATCGCGATTTCCAGTACGATTCTCCTTAGTCCGAAATATAAGTTTTACATGATTTTGATATTTGATGTTCCAGGATTTCCAGGCAAGTCAAATATCAAAATCATGAAAAACTTCAGATATTTCGGACTAGGTCCTCCCTTATGCTCTATTTTTTTTTCCTGAATTACCACATTTACATACTCAACTTATAATTAAACCAATTTCAAACTTTTTTAAAAACGTCACATATTAAGGGCATATTAAAGCCAAAAACGTACCTTTTCCTTTTTATCCATACACACTGGAGTTTTTAAAGAGAGACAAAGTCTTTTTTATCTTTATAAGAGTAGACATCTCCACCAGAAAAATGGTGTACTTTAAACAAACAAGAGGCCCATGGGTCACAACGCTCACCTGAGTAACTTTGGCCTTGCTGCTTTTCACCTGATTTCCCCCTTTGAAATACCTATTGGTATGCTTCCACTTAAGTTTCAGCTTTTCTGGCCCAGTGGTTCTTGAGAAGAAGATTATTAAAGATTTTTTCTACATATTTTAATGTAAAACTTGGATTCCCTATTGTGGCCCCGCCCTACCCCCAGGGGTCATGATTTGAACAACATAGAATCTACACTACCCCAGGATGCTTCCACATAAGTTTAAGTTTTTATGGCCCAGTGGTTCTTGAGAGAAAAAAAATTAAATGACCCCATTCTTTTTTGTCTTTTCTTGTTTATCTCCCCTTGGAAGGGAGCTTGGCCCTTCATTTAATAATTTACCCCCCCCCCTTTATTCAAGGATGCTTTGTACCAATTTTGCTTAAAATTGGCCCAGTGGTTCTTTAGAAGACGTTGAAAATGTGAAAAGTTTACAGACGGACGACGGACAACGGGTGATTAGAAAGGCTCACTTGAGCTTTCAGCTCAGGTGAGATAAAAAACGAATGCCCCTCCATGTCCAATCCATGACGGAACATATTTGACATTGAACTTATCCAAATGACCTTGGTTCTGGGTCTTGATTAATCCTTTGATTATACCAAACTTGGACTTTTGATTAATGTTTTATATAACACGATCATAAAACAGTTGTAAAACAAGAATTTGACTTTTCCATTCCACTGACCTTGACCTGTCCAAAGACCTTGAACACTGTGTTGAGGAATTCTGAAAGCTTAAAATAATTTTTTGAAAGCCATGTTTATTTCCAACAAAGTTATGGAACTAAAAATTTCCATTTTTCTCGTGTCCCTGACATAGTCGAAATAACCTGATGATGACAACCAAGCGATCATAAGCTACTTTCGTTCCACGTATCCTGCTATGTTAAGGTAAGGTCAAAAATTGTTGACAAAAAAACGAAGAGACACACAAACAATAAGCCCCAACCTATCCCCTCAATCTTTGAATTCACTGGCGGATTTAGATGGGGGCCCAGATCCCCCCTTTTGTTTCAAAAAATATACATAAGATTTAATAAATCATTTTTTATTTTGGTGTGGCCCCTGGGCCCCCACTCCGACCCGCAACTGGTCGCCCCCACCCTCCCCTTTTCAAGAATCATGGATCCGCAACTGGAATCAAAAGAAGAAATTATTATAATAAAGAAGTTACCTGAAGCTGACACCGGTAGTAGAAAAATAAGGAAGCAATATCCAAAGTGCATAAAAGAGTATTGATGTATAGCCATTGCAGAGAAAATTCAAAATAGAAAATTTGCAAAACCCTTCTTTTAAATACTAGCGATTTTATTGCGTCATAGGCACATCGAGTTCGAGAGTTGAAGTGGCAAGGTCAAACAGTGTCACGTGACACAGGAAAGCGGATTCTTTTAACAATAATCTGACGTTTAGCCTTTTTGACACGGATCACAGAACCCATTTAGATCTCAAGAAGTTAAGAATTATACAGGAAAACGGCTTAATGTTGACAAAAAGAGTTTATTTTTAGCCAAATGATCAAAATCAAATCTTCGATTTCTTCATGTTTCAGCGGTTAACCAGCCTACAATCTATAGGTTAATGAGTGCTGTTTGATGCTCAAGAGATTGGATATTTGGTCTGAACAAAAATCTTTCTCTTTATTGATTAAATAAAAATTGCTAAGGGTAGATAGAGGTAGAGAAATAATTTCATTTAAAGGACAAAAATTATTGAGAAACGATATGAAAATAAGAGATAAACTGAAAATTATAAGGGAAATTATTTTCTTCCTTATACTAGAAAACTCAGTAAATTAATAGGAGTAAAATCTGTTGTGTCGGCCAGGTCATTCGTCACACCTCTCGAAAATTGGGGAAAACAACATCATTATCGGTTCAGTTGTGTTTATTTCTTGTTATTTATTCATGGGTAATATTGAAACATTTATTTCTCTTTATTAAACAAACAAAATATAAGCAAACTTCAACTAATGGAATTATGATGTCTGTCTGTCTGTTCAGATATTAGTTCTGCGGATGATTGATTTACTCCTTTAACTAGAGGTACTGTGAGCGAGTTAAAAAAATTATAAATAATTTATTATATAATTATAATATAATTATTTATATATATAAAATACATGTATATATATTTTAGAATTACTCATAAATAATCTTTGAACTTGGTTAAAAAAATTACACATACTCCGGTCATAAGTAATCTTTGATTGAACTATGAACATCCAATGTTTCTCAATTAGGATGGATCTGACATGAATTTTACATTTTTTTCAGCCAGTGACCTTAAACTTGCCACAATAACAGCGAGGCAATGTTATGAAATACCCCCTGTTCACGAGTAATCTTTGTTTGAATTATCAAGTTCCTAAACTTATCTATTAGAGAGTTATGAACTTGCAATCTGATAAAAATCAGATCCTCATTTCTTTTCACGGGTATGTTTGTTTGTTTGTATGTTTAACGTCCCTCTCGAGAATTTTTCACTCATATGGAGAGGCCACCACTTGACGGTGGAGAGTTGCAAATTTTGTCCTATACTCGGCACTTACGGCCATTGAGCAGTGAGGGATCTTTTTCGTGCCAGCACCTACTGCGACACGGGACCTCGGTTTACTCCTTACTCCGCGACTCTAGAGCAGACGCTCTAACCACTGCGCCACGCGGGCGACTTCACAGGTATGTGATAAATGACTGACTCAAACAAAGTTTCATGTTATATTTTGAAAAGCTTCGCATTGCAAAACTTTGATCATTTTTACCAACTTTTACTTCATTTTAATACCTAGATTATTAGTTACATAGTTTTGTAGTGACAGGGTACGGGATGATACCTGGTTAGTAAATTTCATACCTGGCGAGGCGAAGCCGAGCCAGGTATGAAATTTACTAACCAGGTATCATCCCGTACCCTGTCACTACAAAACTATGTAACGAATTTACCCCACCGATGAAATGTTTATGGTCTGTGGTTTGTAAAATTGTTTTTCTCCGCTATATGTTTCATCAATCATACAATGCCTATTATGACGCCACGTTGTGTTACGTAATGTTGTTTTGCGAGTGTTTCATAACGTACTGACAGTTTCGAAGACTTTTAGTAAAGTGAGAAAAAGGTTCCATCTCGTTACTTAAGTTGATTAACTTTTTACTTATCAACAGACACCCGCAAACCTCGTGAACTCGAGTTGTTTGAAGTGTTACAAAAGAACGATAACTCCGCATCAACCATGTATTGATTTTCAGGCAACTAGGTATAAGTAATACACCCCCTTCACGTGACAGACTTCAACCAATCGGAAGCAAGGATTTCATCGAAAAATCATCAGAGGTGGGGTAAATTTACATCCACTGAAAATTTTCTCTTTTATTTATCAGTCAGTAAACACCGCTAAACATATCACCTGTGTAGATTTCTTGAGTAGACTGGCTCTGCCATCAATGAAACGTACAGTGATGTAAATATCAATACTACAATATTTAATCTGTTTAATCCTACTTTAGATGATTATTTGTACATATATAAATATAAACAATAAAATGTCTTTTTTTCTTTGTTAGTGTGGGAATTCACTTTGCAACATTAATTCCCATACTAACAACCAAAGAAAGCATTTTATAGTTTAAATAGCGTTCAGCCTCTTTTATAGTGCTTGTGACGTTTTGACTTCCATGAAACCCTTGGGTACATCCTTAAAAATCCTTATAGTTACCTCTTTTTTTTATCTGTCTTTTAGACTTTTACAATGCAGGTTTTGCACTTGTAGCTGGGGTCACTAATAATAAATAGAAAACTCTCAGTTTGTTTGGAGACGAAATCAGGTGATAAATGATGGTGCTATAAACTTTGCAGTTGAAAGTTATATAATGCTAATTATTTAATGTGGAGAAACCTTTGCAACAAGTGGCATTAATATTATTACATTTAAACTTTACAGTGTACAAATAAAGACATTTTTAATGAAGTAGTCAGTAATGTTGACATGAAGACCACTTTAGATAGAATTTTTAAAAAGGTTAGGAAAATACATGTACATATTTATCTTATGGAACAGCACATTTTATCAAGGATATTAACTGCTCTTCGTAATTCTTTAGAAGATAAAGAGCAAGTTTGTCGTTATTGTCACTTCCAATGTCCAGTGAATAAATTATCCCAGAATCGGGTATAAATTTAGAGGACTCCAAGACAGGAAATGACATCATTGATGCTATGTCATGTGACTTATGAAAAACCGTCTGATGTCTTGTTAAAATAATAAACTTTGCTAGTTCTTCATTCTTTTCAGAAAACATCAAATTCTGCAAGATCATTGGCTTTTGGAATTTTGAAAAGATGTTAGACACTTTTACCACAGAATTTCGGAACTGACTATCCGACATGTTTCGATTACATTGAACATCCCAAAAAAGCCCACCATTAAACACTGTAAATAAATGCTCTGCAAGTTCACGATTTGAGAGAAAGAGATCATATGGTAGAAAAAGGCCAGCGTTCGGTTTCTCCTTCTTTTCAATTTCAAATCCTCTCAACATTTTTAATGCATGTAAAGATTTTAGGGATATGTCTCTGACATACAAGAAAAGCGCGAAAATTTCACTGGAATTTGTAGATTTACAATCTTCTTTCATGAAACCTGCCCCCGGCGGAACTTTAAGTGGATTGACATCATTAAAATCACTAAATGATTCATTCTTCTCGTCCCATCCAAAAATCTGAAGCCCATATAATTCGGAAATTTGTTGTAGTTTATGATGCTGTTTCTCAGGAAATGTAGTATAATATTTATCTATCCATTCTACGGCCTCTGTGTGAACGAGTTTAAACATCAGAGCCTCTTCTTCGTCATCAGGGATGTCCATTTTCACAATCACAAAGTCGTCTGGATGCGTATTATTCTGGAGCCAAGCGGCAATATCAACGACAGGAAGTGTAACCATGGTTTCTTTTTCACCAAATGGATGTAAAGTTATTTTCTCTACCGATTCCGTTGTCGCACTTACCCATGCCGGGCTTATCAACGTGTGATTATCAAATACTCGGTAAAATGGTGCAAAAGACACATCGGGTATGAAAGAAACAATCAAAAAGAACTCCGATTCTGGATATGTTTGAAGAAAAATGTCAATACTTTTAGGATAAGTCCCGCCGACGTTTATAAAGTAATTCTTCGGTTGATAGTCTCTAAACTGTATGCTCATGTCTTTTTTGATGCTCAGACCCTCCCGTTCAGATGGAGGGACGTGAAACGAAGAGTACGAATCACTTTGTGATGATCCACGTCGTCTTAAACGTGACCTTGAATCCGACCAAGAGCCAGAAAAACGAAACAACAAGTGACCACAAAGTATTCCAATTGTAAGTGATACGAGGATTATAGGAAGTTTCAAGAAACGCCCTCTACCCGCCATCACAGACAACTGCCTTGAAACAGAAGGTGACCTTTTTAATGGCGGTGCATTATCCATGCCATTCCTTTCAACTATGCAGAATTGTTTATCAGACTTGGCACGACCTCTGTTGACCCCTAAACTTTGACAAGTCGTATTCTGATAGATAGTGGAGAGCTTTTACAAATTTAGGTTAATCAAGGACTTCTTAGATATAGGTTAACCGTAGGAATAATATAAATATAAAAAATATAAGAAAACATAATATTTTATTCTATATACTTATCTAAATACTTGTCACTGACATTCATAAATCTATATATTGACTTATGTACAATGGATTCCAGTGGAAGCAAATACTTGTATACAATGCTTGCTCCTCATGAAATATATATTCAAATGATGTACTCGTATTCAAATATATCACTGGGCAACAACTCACTATAATGTCTACAATAGAACACTTTCCTTTAAAAGAATTATCTTCTCTAACCGATGACAATGGTAAACAATTAGCAAGTCAAACTTTAATACAAAACCACATTCATCTTAAAACCATCAACCTTTTACCAAAGAAAAGCATTTGGTTTTCCTTGTCCTACATCATATCGGTTCATTGAACACATTGGTCAGTTCACCTCACTCTGTCTTCAATTTACCTTTCTCGTTTCGGCGGATGTAAGGTTCAGTTTTAGACATATGTGAATTGACCGAGTTTACTATGGAATAAAGATTGAAATCGGGTCCACCAATGGAAGAAGTCTGCTCGAGGCTGCTGAAAGAGGTTTCGCCAATTCGGTCATCTGGTGATTCCTCTTGTATCTGTTTCTTTATTTCCCTACATATCAACCGTGGTATCTTCTCAGAGCTGTTGCTGTTATCTAAAAGGTAATTTATGTTTTTTGACCCGGTTGCATAGCTGTTGTACTGATACAGAATTAAGGCAAGATAAGCACGCTTTTATTGTGAATACTTGTTCATAAGAAAGTTATATTTTACCAGTAGATATACTTTTTTCAAAATATTAATTAAATTATTTCATTGTTATAACAAACAATTAAGATGTGGTTATCCATTAAGAATCACTGCTTTTAATGATGTTTTTATGCTTTCTAGTTGCTTATTTTGATAACAAATGTTTAAAGTACAAATTATAAAGAACAAGGTAGATTAAGGGTCTTTTTGGTTCCATGAACAATTCAATGGTTTATAATTGAACAGATATGATGATGCCAACCGCAATTAAATAACTGACTTTATAATAAAATCAACTGATAGCATTCGCAGAGGCCACAAACTCATTTAATTTCCAAACTTTCGTACTTTCAATTGATTGTTTTGCTTAAAAAAATCAATAAAGTACACAATAATCAGTCGTTTTTAAATGTTGCAAATTATTAAAGTATCAAATTTTTGACCCATACCATACCCAGTCAAAAAATCAAAATTTCTATGCTTTTGATATACTTATACCTTTGTAAAATATAATTTTATATTTTTTCGAGCACTCACGATCCTTTTCTAAAATATCTTCTATTGTTAGGTAGAACCTCATGGCTTGTATATACTTTTCTCTTGTCTGTAGCCCAGTTTTATCATTCTGTTCCATTTCATACAAAGTATGAATAATTGTAACATATTCACCAACGAAGTAATATCCCTATAATCAAATGCAAATTTTCAACAAAGGATCTATTTATATTTTTTTCTTAAAACTAATCAAAACATGTATCACTTTTGTTCTAGAATTAATGTGATGTACAACAAGGTTGTTAATTTTGTTCCTTATCATTAAGGTTTGTAATTGTTAAATGGCAATATATAACGGGATAACGTTTTATTATTAATCATCTCTATCACTATCTATACGCCTATATCTTGCATATCTTCTCATGTTTCATCTTTCAATATCTTTCAATATCTCTGAACTGTCACGGTAGCTCTGTGATCGGAAGGTCGTGTGTTCGAATCACGGCGGCGACTGACCTAAGTTGATAAAAAATAGGTTGCAACCGTTCCTTCGCCAAGTGCTCGGCACCTTTGAGTGAAAGTTGCGGGTCTTTCGGATGAGACCTTAAAAACCGATGCCCCGTCTCACGGTAGGCGTTGGCACGATAAAGAACCCTCACTGCTCAATGGTCCTTTGCGCCGAGCAAAGATCTAAATTTTAAGCCTTTCACCGGTATTTGGTAACGTCTGTATATGAATGAAAAATTCTTAAACGGGACATAAAACAACACACAATCAATCAATATCTCTGTTAGTGAGCGCAGCGTATGTGGAATTTTTGATATGTCAACACAATACATCAAAATAATAAACACAAAAAATATAACCATCATGATCTACAGAAGAATATCAATGATAATGATGAACTGTACTCACTTCACCTCTGTCGTCCTGCACGCTGTATATACTATTTCTATACTGACGAGCTACAGTACCAGCTCTATTCATAGTAATAGCAGGTAGATGGCCAACATGTTCGATAAGTGGGTTTTCGTCTGAGAGAGAACCTCTACAGCGACAACTTTCAGGAAATAACAGGAACAATTTTTCACTCATTTTCCCATCCAAGCTGTTTTCCATCCGCCACTTTCTCGCTTTTACATCTATATCTTGAAAATCAGTATGATGCATATATTGGGGAAAACAAACAATAAATACTAGTTCAATTGAAAATTAGACAGAACACACACAAAAAGGGAATAACTTTTCATTTTCTTTTCACGGAAAATTGCAATGATCGAGTTTACACTGTCTTTTGTTATTTTTATCGAAGCTCCCGAGAACGACTAACCATTGCCAATGATCCTGACGAAAGAATAGCTTTTTGTCAAATTCTAACGAAAGAATTAAATTTGAGGTTTATTTCTACTGTTGTTTCTCAATTGTACTTGCAGAAAATGTGCCAGGGGGGATTTCAAAATTCATAGATGGATTTAGAATTGTTTATAAAAATATTCAGCTAAATTATGAAAGTAAATTATCTTTTGAAGAAATTAATTTTTCTTTTAAATACATTTAAAAAAAAAAAATTGTCATAGTTAATTTCTAAAGCATAGTAAATGACATGATATGATGTTTCCTGTCTTCAAAATGAGAGAAAATTATCTCATTTTAATATTTTATTTATTAAACAAATTTCATTTTTTGAATTTAAACAATATTTAATGATATATTTTACCTCCCAAAACATTAAAAATGATATGATATTATGTTTTCTGCCTTCTTCTATATGACAGAAAATGAACTTATCTTAATATTTTGAAGGAATTTAAATTCAAGTAAGAATTAATTTTTTAAACAATTGATGTCTTTTGCCTTCCCAGAAGAGAAACTAATCTTATTTATATAGTTTTAAGGAATTTTTATTCTGTAAAAAAATATTTTAAATGTTATCACTTTTGAGCTCTAGAACATTTCATTTGAAATGATACGCTGTCGTCTGCCTTCCATTAGACAGAAAGCGACCTAATTTCAATATGTTAAAGAATTTTTTAAAAATTAAATTTTAGAAACTTCATCATAATTCATTTTATAAAACGTTCCAAATGACATTATAGGATGTTCTCTTCCTCTCAAATGACAGAAAATATCCTTGTTCTGAATTTTCATATGACTTACTTATAAAACCTAAAAAATGTCAAAAACAGCTGAATTGCAACAATTGCATAAAATTTTATTTAAAAACATATGTTATCAAATATTGGAGAGCTCACCTCAACGAATTTTTTTTAAGTAAGGCATAGTCCCACACTAAACTAATAAATGAGTAGTGTGCATTCATTGATGCAACATTTATGCAATTTTGGTCCAGTGGGAATGAATATGTTCTAAAAACTTTAAACTGGTCACTGACCCAGACAATGAGGTCTAGATCTGATGTAGCATATACTGTTAATGTACATCCCTTGCTGCATCATCCATACATGTTTGGTCCAGGTAGACCTTTTAGTTACTTGGAAATAGACCTGCTTAAGATACTAGTACTTCAACTCGGTAGCTCATCCTGAAAGCCTACTTCAGATCCAGCATCCAAAGTAAGTCTGGTAACTGCATCCCTTGATATATCATCAATGCAAGGAATTAGCTCTATGAAGGGCATAAAATTTAAGTGGAATGAACCTGCTCCAAAACCTATTACTTGATCATTCCTTCAGAACATATGGGTCAAATCCAGCCTTTAAAGCAATTAAGTTAGATAGAGTGCACCCCTAGATGCAAAATACATACAAGTATGGTCCAGATAGGGCTTTAAGGAAAAAGGTTGCTCCAAAATTTTAACCTGGTTACTCATCCAGAAAATCCAGTATCTGAGAGTGTTCATCCCTTGATATTTCATCTATGCAAGTTTGGTTTAGATAGGGCTTGAAGTTACACTGGAATAAACCTGCTCCAAAAACTTTTACCTGGTCACTCATCTGGAAAATATAGGTCAAATACTAGTAAGCACAAGTCTGGTAGTGTGCATCCTCAGATAAATATCCCTGCAAGTTTGGTCAACATAGGGTTTGTAGTTACTTGGAAATAAGATCTGCTCCAAAACTTTAACCTGCTCTAAAACATTAACCTGGTCATTCTTTGGCTGACAAGGCAGCATCTGAAACCAGGCTATGAAACAGACTAGAAGCATCGTCCATTCATCTGTGATCAATATAAGGTACAAAAGCACTTTAAAAAATCCCTCCAAAAACTTCAACCTAGGACACCGACGTCGATATCGAAGCCGACGCCGAGGGTATTACATAATCTCTCCCAACTACGCTTAAATGAGCTGAAAATTACTTTTTTGAAGTTTTTTTCCAGTATTTTATCTCCAAAATCTTCCGCATGAAATAATTAGACCTGAAATGACATTCATATTGCAGAAAATGACCCGAATTCCACATTGATTACATTTCACCTTTATGACCTTTAAAAGGATGAAGATTTGTAAAATTTCAACTAATAAATGGAAAAATCGACAGTCCAGACATCATTACCATGGAAAACTGTGAAAATTGAATATTAAAATCGAATTTTTAATTCTAATCAAAGGATTTTTCTTCTAAATTAACTTGCACGAGGATTTAAGTTTTTGGATTTTCAAACCTATTGTAAAAATTTAAAAGTTGAAAAATTTAAAAAAATCGTGTTTATTTTTTTTTTCAAAAGACAGGTGCATATCTACAAGTGACAATCTATCATTCCTGAAAATTT